GAGCAGGGAGCCCGATGCGGGACTCGATCCCGGGACTCCAGGATCATGACCTGAGCCGAAGGCAGTCGCTTAACCAACTGAGCCACCCAGGCGCCCCTTTCCATTTCTTCTTAAAAAACAGTCAGGCCAGATTAAGGTGTGACACTGACAAGGCCATGGGAGCGGTATCCTCCTGGTGGTGGCCATGATGCTCTGTACCTTGTAAAGCTCTATACACATCCTATCCATCACTCACCATCAGGATGACCCAGAAGAGGTAGACTGTAAGCGACTGACTGGCTGAGAATGTATTCATTGAATAAGCCTTTCAAGATCTTCATGAACTAGGCAAATGGATTCAAAAGTTTCAAGAGTACTACTTAATTCGAATAATTACAAATTATGCTGTATTGTTGGTACTCTGGTTCAACTGGAACCTTTGTAACAATGATACTGTAGATGTTTTCATTTTAGGCACGCTACACTCATTGCTGTGTGGACTTTAAAAAAAAAAAGGACAATTCAAGATAGCTTACTTTTTTCCCGAGCCCTAGGGAGAGGGGTTAATTATGAGCCATTTGGTTGAAGTCAGTGTTATAAAATAATGCGTTTCAACAGCACCTGTTACTGAGTCCTATAGATTATTATAACTTTTTAAAGAGCTATTATTATTTTGACTAAGCACAAAGCATCAAATTTTTCTGTTTTAATATTTTTAATTAAAACATACATTCAGAAAGGTGCATGAGTCTTCAGTGAATTGTCACAACACAGACACACCTGTGCAACCACCAGCCAGGTGAATAGAACATTACCAGCATCCTTGAAGGCCTTCCCCGAGCTCCTCCAGATCCCTGACCTCTCTTCACCAGGGGCAAGCCCTATCATGACTTCTAACACCATAGCTGTTTTGCCTGGGTCTTTTGTGTGCATATGTGTTATGTCACCTTTTTGCCTGGTTTCTTTCGCTCGATATTATGTGTTCAGCCACGTTGCTCAGAGAAGCTGTGGTTCATTAGTTTTTGTTGCTGTGTAGTATTCCATCGTCTGAAGAGCCAACAATCTGTTTACAAATTCAACACTGGTAGAGATTTGGTTTTTTTCCAGCCTGAAGCTATTACCAAAAATGCTCCTATGAGCATTCTTGTCTGCGTTCTTTGGTGTACATATACACACCTTTCCACTAAGCATATACTAAGGCATAAGATGCTCAGTCATTGAGCATGCACGTGTTCAACCTGGGCAGATAATGCCAAACACGTTTTCTTTTCTTTTCTTTTTTTAAGATTTTATTTATTTATTTGTCAGAGAGAGAGAGAGACAGCACAAGCAGGGGGAGCGGCAGGGAGAAGCAGGCTCCCCGCTGAGCAAGGAGCCCGATGCGGGGCTCGATCCCAGGACCCTGGGATCATGACCTGAGCCGAAGGCAGACGCTTAACCAACTGAGCCAGCCAGGCGCCCCTCAAACACGTTTTCTAAAATGGTCATACTGATGCTCCCACTACCAGAGCGTTAGGTCTGGTTGCTCCACATCCTCCCCATACCTAGTATTATCTTTTTAACTTTAGCCATTTTGGCAAGTGTGTGTGTAAATATATATATATTTTTTATAGTTGTGTATATATGGATGTTATGTGTATAGAGCTGTATTTCACTGTGGTATTAGAGTACTGTATTTTAATAAACAATTAATTGTGTTTCCTTTTATAGCAGAACAGGGAGAACCATGTACGATTTCATAAGGGTCATTAAAATGTTTTTGGTAATGAGTGCACATCATCCTGTTTCCTTTTAGGCCCATCTCAATGATCAGTCCACGTCCCAACCAATACAAAAACAATAATACTGACATGTGACACGTCCATCTGACCCATCTAGCAAACAAAAGGATTCATCTAATATGTCCTTGAAACAAAACAAGGTAGAGAAATAGTCAATGACTATAAACAATAACAGAAAAACAACCAAATTTTTAAAAACAAAGTATAAGTGGTAGAATAACTGACTGTTACAGTTAGATTCATCTAATTCAACCAACTCAAAGCCAAGAGAGGTTAAATGATTAAGGCCCAGTTCTGTTGCAGACAGAGCCAGAAGTAGAATTCAAGTCCATACACCCTTAGCCTTTTATAGGATATGCAGAATTTTAGTTGATGGACTGACTTTCTGAAATCTGAAATTTCTTTAAATTTAATTTCCCAAAGTTCAGATTAATTTCATCAGTGCACTAAGTTAACCATGAAAAAGACCCCTATCCTGTTCGTTTTTTTAAGATTTTATTTATTTATTTGAGAGAGAGAGGGTGCACACATGTGGAAGAATACAGGTGGTGAGGGGAAGGGGCGGGGTGAGAGGGAGAAGCAGACTCCCAATCCCAGGACTCTGCAATCATGACCTGAGCCGAAGGCAGACACCTGACCGACTGAGCCACCCGGGCGCTCCCCACTATGTCTTGTTAAAGAACAAAGTTCAGCTGAGTAAATTGAAAGAGCTAATTGGCTTTATTTAAGACTCAGGAGTCAGCAGCATCCCATCTAACAAATAGGAGGCTGTTCCAAGGAGTTGTATAAAATGGAAGGCTTTGATAGGCAGAATGGGGTGGGACAAGGAAGTTAACTAGCAGAAGAAAAGAAAGGATGGTTTCAGGCAAGGTCACCTTCCCCTTGGGGAAAGGGCAGGGGGTCTTGTGCAGATTACCTCACTGGGGCCGATCTGGAAATTCCAGCATGATGAGTTTAAAACCCAGCGAGGCTGAAACTGCAGTTAGGTTAGACATGAAGTCTTGGGGACTCCATTTGGGGCCTGTTGTTTCTTTTTAACAGTCCCCCCTCTTTTGATCCAACTCTCAGCCTAACTGAGAGATGTGATCGAAATTCAAGGCATTAGCACCACTCTCAGCTACGGCTCTAGTTCTCGAAGCTTTCATTCATCCTGGGTTTTGCTGACTCTCTGTGGCACTCGTGAGTCATGACTTCAGGCTCACAGTTTTTTAGTTGGTCATTCTCTTTGCTCCTTTTCTGTCATTCCAGCCTCAGGGAGATCATTGGCTTGGTGGTTGGTGGCTGCAAACATGCATTTAAAGCCCTTAGGAGAATACAGCACACCAGGGAGGTTACTGTAACTATAAGCAGGATAATTCCCAACATTTGGAGTGCACTTCAGGGCCATGGTCCCCAAGACTGAACCAAAGAATGACCCCACTGAAGAAGTCACCCTTTTAAGCCAAGTGGCGTTCTCGGAACTCTTACATAACTGAGTTGCATCTTCCGCAGAAGTGTTAGTTCAGGTACAGCAGGTTCTGTTGGCCCAGCTCAGACACCTCCTTACTCCAAACGCTTTGGCCAGAGACTCTAAGGATCTTTGCTGGGCAGCTAGTGTCTTAACAACAGACTCTGCAGGGGCTCCAAGAGTTCAGGAGAAGTTTCTAATCATATTCTCATTTGTATTTACTCCTAAACCGGGGGTCAGTCAGGGTTTTAGCATATATAGGAAAGGAATCTCCAAACCTGAAATAAAAAGTCATCTTAAGTGCCTTATAAAGATGGGTGCTGCTGGTGAGCTCTCTCAGCGAGTGGGGACGGATCTGGTCTAGATAATCATGGGAACAGAAGGATCCAAATGCGCTAAGATTCACATAGGTAAATGTGTCTAACTGGGTACATACTTCTAAGTGGGGGATGGGGCAGGGGGAAGGGAGGATTGACATTGAGATTCAAAGAGAAATTGGTCCCGGGTAGGATCTCTTGCATCATGACAAATCTAGCAATCTGAGAGTTAACCAATCCCCTCTCAAACTTAGCAATGGCCTGAGGGATACAATGAGGGCATTATCTCTCCAGGCCAACGCCAGAGTAAAGAAAAGAAAAAGGAGAAAGGGTTTCATGTTTAGTTTAAGTATGAGGTCTTGATCCAGCATCTTGGGTGAAAGCAGTCTACTTCGATGTCAGCCACTTCTCTTCCTTGTCAATTCAGTTTGTAGGTCTGTATCATCTGCCTAGGGCCTGATATCAGGTGGAGCCTTCTTTATCAGTGAGACATGTACCCAAGGCTCAGTGTGTTCTAGTTTTGCAGTATATTGTGTTCGGGAGCACTTGGGAAGCTCCCTTCCCATGAGGCACAGTGAGGCTGTCCTCCTCTGATGACACTTCCAGAAGTCCCGGTTACCAGGCTCTAGACTGTGACCAACAGGATTCCTTGAAATGGGATTCAGCAAAGCTTCTTTAATCTGCTGATGATATGCTTAAACAGAAGACATAAGCATAAGACTTACTGTAGCTGGACATCCTAGCATGAAAGTTGTGTATCTTCAGCAGAAGGTTATATACTGATAGACATTGATCTACCAGCGACTGTCTTCTATAGAGTGACTTTCCCAAAGGGAGTACTATGAACAGTCAGCAAGACCAAAGACAATACTGTGGGCCATGGAAATCCAGTGGTGTCTGCAAGTTTAGACATTTAAGTTTAAAGGATCTCTCTAGTTCTCTCAACCTTACCTGATGATTAAAGGGTGATAGGGACAGTGGTAATCCCAAGAGGTTTGCAAGGTGTTTGTTAAGGCTTATATGATTTGCCCAATGAGGTGGGTACCTTGATCACTGGAGATTATAGAAGGTATACCCCAAGTGGGAAACACATTTTCCAACACTTTCTTGGCCACTGTGAGGACATCAGCCTTGCGACAGGGGAGGTCTTCAGCGCACCTGGAAAACACATATGATAACAAGAACATATTGATAACCTGGACCAAGTGGTAGCTGAATGAAGTCCAACTGCAGGCATTCAGAGGGTCCAGAGGGAGGAGATCTGAGGCTTCTCAGGACAAAAATAGTTTGCCAGGATTGGGGCCGTGGCAGGTCAGACATGGCTGGTAGACTGTTTTTGCAATTTTATAGAAGAGTCCCTACCAATATCTACTTATAATTTAGGTCATCTTAAATGTCCTAAGGTGGGGGAAGGAATATGGAAACCGAAAAGTGGAGTTAGGTTTAGTTCCAGCTGTTTGTTTCATTTATAGCCATTGTTCACCCATCTTAATTTCTCTGATTCAGGAGCAGACCATTGCCGTGTTACCAGGACATCAGAATGGCAAACATTTGGCAATGAAGAGCCATTTTGTGCAGAAGCAGAATGGACTTGGTCCACACGTGCTTCAATCGCATGCTTCTGCCTGTGCACGAGAGTCAGCCGAGACATCTCCTGGTACTCCGTGCTTTCAGGCTGAGCCTTAATTTTGATGACAGCAATTTCAGAAGTTAAAAGAATAGCAGAATGGCAGTAAGAAGATCATTTACTTTTTGCCCATTTTTGATTGAGGTCTCAGAGGATGCAAGAAAACCTCATTGGTCTCCATAACATTCTAAAATCACAGATGACTCCAGGGGCGCCTGGGTGGCTCAGTCGGTTAAGCGTCTGCCCTCAGCTCAGGTCACGATCCCAGGGTACTGGGATCGAGCTCCACGTCGGGCTCCGTTGTCAATGGGGAGTCTGCTTCTCGCTCTTCCTCTCCTTCTGCCCCTCTTCCCCTGCTCATGTTCTCTCTCTGTCTCAAATAAAATCTTTAAAAAAAAATTCAACTTAAAAAAAATAAAATAATAAAATAAAATCAAAGATGACTCCAAAGGCATCCCAGCTATTCATATCGATATTAACAGTATGTGTTTCTGATAATTGGCACGCTCAGGTAAAGCATGGAGCTCTGCTGGTTGGGTGGATTTAGCTTGTGAGAGGTTTCCCTTTCCCAGCAGGTCATACTGAGTAATAACAGCAACAACCAGCCTGAAAATTTCCTTTTTCACCTCTACGGTATGACCTGTCAACAAACCAGAGTAGATAATGATTCGTTAAAGGGATATCTCCTAAGTCAGGATGAGTTGTCACGAAATGGAACTCCCTACCTCAGCTAGGAGGCTCACCTTCATCAGGTAGAGGTAGTAAGAGAGCCAAATCAAGGGTGTTGCAACATTGAAGATGTAGATTAGATGGTGAAAGCAGGATCTCAGGAAGTTAGTCTATTTGCAGAGAAATGTGGAGTCAGTTCGGAGTGAAGATGACTTGGGACAAAGTGTGAAGTTTCCAAATAAACGCCATTTCCTAGGGTCAGATCTGCAGATGCTTGGGCTCACTCCACAGCTGCGGCTCTCGCATGAAGACAACTGGGCTAGGCACGAGCCACTGAATCACACTGCATGCTCTCATCGGCGCGTCTAGTACCATGTTCGTGCGTGAGCATTCCCAGGGCTTGATTATCCCCGCCCTGCACAAATAAGGTGAAGGGTTTTAAATAGATGGCCCTGAGGCAGGTGGTTCTTCCAGCGCCTGTTTTAGTCTTATAAAAATCTGCTCATGTTTGTCTTTCCAAGCAAAGGTTCCGGGGACTGAGATTTTAGTTAAGTTTACAGAGTGGAGAAGTTAATAGAGAAAAATTAGGATCCCGTAGTCTGCAATAAATCCACAAAGCCGTCCCTTACTTGTAGGTCTCAGAAATTCCTGAATTAGCTTAATTCTTTTTGGAGACGGCTGAACTGCTTCTGAGCTTCGCTCATGACTTAGGTACTGAACAATGTCTAGAGATATTGTAGTTTTGCCTTAGAGACTTGGTGTCCCTTTTCAGCTAATTGTTACAGCAAATAGAGGACTCCTCTTTTGTGACTAAGCACAGCAAAAGGTCATCTACATATTACAAAAGTTTCGGTTTCCCAGGGACCTGGAGGGTACTTAAACCTCAGTGACGTTACTTGAGAGAAATAAGAGGGGGCCTTGGTGACCCATCGAGGCATAATTATCTAGGGACAGTGTCAATCGCTTCGGGTAAAGGCAAATAGATATTGGCTGATGATGTCTCCGCCGAACAGAGGTGCACAGCAGTGCCCTGGGCTTCAGGTGGAACTTGTGACATAAGGGCGTTTGGGTTTGGAATGACTGGGAAACCGGAATAACCATCTTATTCATAGCTCTCAAATCTGGAACAAATTGCCCTCCCTGCCCATCAGGTTTCAGGATTGACAAAATCGATAGGAACTAGTGCTGGGAATGATTAGCCCCCTGGGCGGTAAGGTCTTCTACTATGTACGGGTATGAGGCCTTGTATGGCCTCAGGCTTGAAGGGACATTGAGGTAATGTAGGGAGAGGGTTACTTTTATCTGTCTGAATCTTTATGGGTTCTGTACTTCTTATTTGTCCAATGTAAATATTAGAAGCCCATGGATTTTTGGGCTCCTCCATTAAATTTGGGGACTTTTGTTGGAATTCTTCCTCTTCTGTGTCAAGGAACATAAAAGATCAGGTTCAGGTTGGTCAGGAAATTCTCAGGTGAAGTCTCCATTGGAGGCAAAATGAATTAGCCCTTTTAATTCAGAAAGGAGATCCCTACCTAATTGTCTGGAACTGACTGACACAACAAAAAGGAGTGTTTTTCTTTTTCTTTTTTTTTTTTAAAGATTTTATTTATTTATTTGACAGAGAGAGAGAGAGCAAGAGCAGGAACACAAGCAGGGGGAGTGGGAGAGGGAGAAGCAGGCTTCCCGCCGAGCAGGGAGCCCGATGCGGGGACTCGATCCCAGGACCCTGAGATCATGACCTGAGCCGAAGGCAGACGCTTAACGACTGAGCCACCCAGGCGCCCCAAAAAGGAGTGTTTTTCAGTAAAAGCCCTGAGTCATTTGTACTGGTAGAGATAAAAATTCTCTCTGAACTTTATCAGACACCCTCTACCCCCAATGATGGAAACCTCCTTTTTACTTTGAGGGATTTGTCATCTTGAGGGTGGGGTTTAAGGTAGAAAGTGTAACTCCGGTATCTATTAAAATGTGCCAAGGTTGCCCATTAATTTTAACTTTAGTTTTTCCCTTGGCTATTTAAGGGAGTTTCTGGTAATAGTCTAGCAGAGAAGCCCTCAGAGTCCCTTCAACTGTGTGAGGGGCTCTCCTTTGCAGGCAAGTTATGAGGGCATTTAAGAAGAATTTGCCTGGGGACCGCCTGGGTGGCTCAGTCATTAAGCCTCTGCCTTGGGCTCGGGTCATGATCCCAGGGTCCTGGGATGGAGTCCCGCATCGAGCTCCTGGCTTGGCGGGAAGCCTGCTTCTCCCTCTCCCACTCCCACTGCTTATGTTCCCTCTCTCGCTGTGTCCCTCTCTGTCAGATAAATAAAATCTTTAAAAAAAAAAAGAAAAAGAATTTGCCTGGGCGCTTCGGTGGCTTAGTCGATTGAGCATCTACCTGCCTTTGGCTCAGGTCATGGTCTCGGGGTCCTGGGATGGAGTCCTGAGTCAGGCTCTCTGCTCAGCAGGGAGTCTGCTTCTCCCTCTCACTCTCCCTCTCTGCTTGCCCTCTCTCTCTTTCAAATAAATGAATAAAATCTTTAAAATAAAATTAAAAAAAAAGAAGAATTTGCCTAGGACAATCTCTTTTCCAGTGTCCCAGTTGATGAGAGCTGCGACCTTGATCTTTGGACCAGCGTTTTGCTAATGGACCCCTAGGAGGGTGCAGGGCTGGAGGCCCAGGTGTTGCTTTGGGTCTCTGCCCTTGGAGCTGTAAAGCTAATAGCTTGGCAGATTTTTGTTTGCAATCTTGCTCCAGGGTCCTTTCAAAATGCTCAGCTATAGTCACGAGTTCAGTCAGACTAGTGGCCTCCCATCCTATTTTCTGCCTTTTTATTGATCCACTAATCTCGGGAGATAATCCATGTACAAAGAGGGCAGCCAGAGCAGGCTGGGTGACCTTATTTATTGCGTGGAACCCCAAATGCCATAGAGAAAGGACTACACACAGGCTTTAAAGTCTGCTAGAGAGTCATCTTTTTTTTGTTTGCGAGTTTGTATAATAGAGCAATAAGGACAGGCAGGGAAGACTCTAGGAGTGGCTTATATGAAAGTTTGGCTGCTATTTTGTGAGCTTTTGCTGGTTCCTGAGATGTTGAAGGCCAAGGATCTCGAATATCATCTTTGGGGGTTTGCCATCTTGCTTCCTGCATCCAGTTTTGGGCTTCACCAGGTCATACCAACATCTCTACAAGCTGATAGAGAACAGGTAGCCTGGGGTCACAGACCCTGATAATGACTCTAAGTTCTTCAAAAAATGTTTGGGTTCCTCCCTAATTGTAGGGCATTCTTTAACTGTGACCCTTAGTTCTGTCTTTGGCCAAGGTGTAAAGGGTACCTGAGGAGGTTCACCTGCAACCTCAAAGTTTCATTTTAAAAGGAAACTGTCTCATGGTCTCTTCAGAATGGAAGGGCAGTTCAGACAGACCATTAGTGAAATGTGGGTACTCAAGTAAAAAAAGACAAAGGACGGGGGTGGGGGGAGCGGTAGGGGTCACGTCCGTCTTACTATTTTTTTGTTTAAGGTACTTCTTATGTCTTTAATTTTTTATTAGCCTTTTGTAACAAGTCTTTTAATGAAGCTATATTGGAATCTTAAAGCCTTTTGAAAGTTTCTGCCTACCAATCAAAGTAGGCATCCCATTCTGTGTGTTCAACTTTGGATCCATTGCTCCTAAGAGTAATCTTGCCTAATCGGAATATTCCCCATAATGACCATTGTAATTCTAGGTTATTTTCAGTAAATATTTGCCATTTTGCTAGATATGTGAAGCTTCCTGAACTATAGTTCTTTTTTATTTTTTAAGATTTTATTTATTTATTTATTTGAGAGAGTGCGAACACGAGAAGGGGGAGGGGCAGAGGGAGAGGGAGAAGCAGACTCCCCGCTGAGCAGGGGCCGGATGCGGGACCCAATCCCAGGAGTCTGGGATCATGACCCCAGCGGAAGGCAGACACTTAACCAACTGAGCCATCCGGGCACCCCGGACTATAGTTCTTAAACATAAAATTAGCAGGAGTGCCGGGAGGTGGTGTGCTCAACTCTTTGGATATAAAGGATCCCATTTCTTAATTTAGCTAGGTCTTTGGACTTCCTGGAGCCAAACCAATACCGAAGAGGGCCTATCATGGGAGTCTTCTTGAGGTGGTGCATGCTCTAACACCCTTTAAGCACTCCATTTGTGCCCACCAACTTTTTTGACTTCTGAGATTCCCATTAGCAACTAGCCCTTCTGTAATATTCACCTGTAATATTCCAATTCCACTGGACCCCGTCTAGCCCAAACTGGACCCAGTCTGACCCTGGACCCAGTCCAACTTTGGTCAGTAACCACCAACACTGTATGGAATCTGGGAACTGGGGAAAGATTTGAACCAGCAGACCCCAAAGAACTGCAGACTGATTCCAGACAGCTGCCACCAGCAGTTCTCAGTGTGGGATCTGGGGATGGAACCAAGGGCTGGGGTTTCCAATCAAACAGGGAAGTGTGTGGGCGCCTGGGTGGCTCAGTTGGTTAAGCGACTGCCTTCGGCTCAGGTCATGATCCTGGAGTCCCTGGATCGAG